TATTTTAATTTATTCTTAGAACTAACTTGTATAAAATTGTATTTTAGTTTCGGAGTACAAAAGTTACTATTTAGACAAGAAATTTTTCAAAATCAATTTACAAACTACGTATTTACATACTTTTAAACAAACATGGTTTGAAGTGGAAATGGTCAAGTATTTTGTAACCACTCCCTCTCTCCGATCATTCACACTGTACATAATTTGATTCATAGTAGTGCGACGTGGGGCGCGTGAGACCTTTGAAGCTTTTAGAGGTCACAAAACTGGAATTTTAGTTTTTATTTTTATCAGCAAAAAAGATCGGAAATCTTTGACAAATATGGACAAATAGAAGCGGCAATGAAAAGTGCAAATAAAGCAAAGACTAATAGCAAACAAACCGGCGAAATCGAACAGAAAATCTCACAAAACATGCACACAAAAAAATAGCCAACCTCTTAAATAGTAGGAAAGCAAATGCTGTTGATATTCAAATGTACATAGAATGCAAAACCACAATAATATTTCTATGTCAATTTACAGAAAAAAAATATTACTTTTAGTAGGTAGAGCCTTTGTAGCCGGAGTTGCTGGTTCGAATCCCCGTGAACTCAATGAAGAACTGCTATTGAAGATGCAATGAAAACGTATAATTCATCACTGACTTAATCATTAAATCTTACATTTTTTTAATTACATATTTGTTTGGATAGTTAATTATGTAATTAAATAATAATAAACTTAGCCTCCAATAATGCAAACGTGACAGCTACGATCAGTGTTATTAATACAAAACAGCCAACAGACAAATTTAGAAATTTGACTTTTATCAAGCATTTATAGTAGTCGTAATGTCAACTGTTGCGCGTATTTTGTATATTTTTTTTTCACTGCCAAATATGTATTTATTCCTAATCCGAAAGCGAATTTCGCAACGCTTGTGTTGAGATTGATATGTTTTTCCGATCAGTGCATTTCCGATATTTGCTGACATTGTCAGGAACTCAAAATAAAAATTTTAAATAAATAAACTATGTATTAGAGGCGCACATAAGTTATCGCATGTTTACGGGGAAAACGTCATAAGTTAATATGCCGAAATGGCTTTCGGGGCTTCATTTATGCGGCGTAAAAAATTCATAACGATATAAGTTAATTGGATCTTATCAGACCATGTGTATTTTTTGCAATTTTACTCTTTTTACTCTTTGATTTTAAGCTTTGTCCCTTGTAATATACACTAGGCGACAATTGAAAGTATACACCTAGTTCTAATATAATATTCACAATTACTTTCATGAACAATTTTTTGCATCAATTATTTACGAAAATGTAGTTAATTTTATAGTATAAACCGTATAAATCAAAATTTCACACTTTATATAAGGTTCACAAAAATCCGAAATATTTTTATGAAAATTTTCAACTTTTTATTCAGAATTTCTTGAAAATTTTCGAGTATGCAGTTTTGTCTAAGGAAGTGCAGGTTTCAAACGGCTAAAAAGTCTCGTTGATTTCTAAGATTTTTTTTTGTGACGGATTTTGCGGTTTTTTCACATAAGCATGAATTTCTTATCAAATAAAATGCGGGAGACCATTAGCAACAAAATTTCAAAAAATCAAAGCCAGTTTTTGTAAATTACACTTCTTATATACATAAAAAATATGCAAAGTCTAAAAAAAATCTGAAAAATCAACACGTTTTTTCCGCCGGTTGAAACTTACACTAAGATTGAATGAGCTGCAGAATTGCACACTCGCAAATTTTCTAGAAATTCTGGCTACAAAGTTGAAAATTTTGATGAGTTTGAAGTTTTTGACTTTTTTTTAACTTTACATAAATATAGTGTGAAACTTTGAATTGCATGATTTCTATTATAGAATGAAGTATATTTTCATAAATGATTAATGCAAAAAATTTTTCAAGAAAATAATTTTCATAGAAAAAAGTTATACGCTTTCATTTGTTGCCTAGTGTATTGTGCATTCCAGCCCAATTGGCTTTTGCATCTCCAATTTTTCTCGTAATTTATTATGTTAAATAGAATTTAATTTAATTTTTTATTTTTTATGCTATAGTACCATGAACCAATGACTACAGATCACGTAATCCGCCGTATTTGTAATCGATTTCCAGAAAATAGTTTTCGTAGCGTTTTTGATGTTTTTTGGTTTTGTTTACATCGTCTTCTACCTCTTCGTAGTGATATTTTAGCGATTTTATGTGTTTTCTGCAGCGATTTCAATTATAAATTTTGATTTATTACAAATTTATGATATAATATGAAGTGCTTTGTGATTGGAACAAGTTTGTGCGTCTTTTTGATTTGCCAAGAGGCGTAAATTTGCTTGAAAAGTTTTGTGGTCAGAACATTGGCATTAAAAAATCGACCGGTGCCGATAATATGCGATTGTAAAACACTCTCAATCATTAAAACCCTATTTTACGAACTTTTTTTGCTTATTGTCATCAAGTTTCACTTTTTATATTTTATAATAAAGACCAATATAATCGCACTCAATCACCGCGCCTTTTTCGTTTTCTTTGTTTGCTTTCATTTTTAGGCAGATGTCAAAAACGCTCAGAAATTAACTTTTTTCATTATTTTCCGATTGCGTGATCTTATTAGTTTGTTCATGCTATAGTACTAATTTGCAAAGGCCGCCCCGATTTTCTTTTATATTTTTTTATCCAGCCATTCTTTCTTTACGATGTAGTATTTTTTTCTTTTTGATGAATGCGTTGAGTGGGACAAAATTTATTAGCTTTCCATTAGTTTAAAAATTAAATGCCATTACCGCATTTGGCCTAAACATTTTCAAGTCGATCAGAACGTGTTTTTTGGAAAAATAAAAATTTCATTAAAAAAGTAACGGGCATTTAAAAACAGGAACGTCTTTTTCAAACAACTATATCGCGGAAACGACTGGACAATAAACAATTAAAAAAATCATTTGAATACGCTTTCGCTATGCATTTTACAGAAGCTTTTTCATATGCAATAAGGAAAAAGAGCAACAATTTTAAGCCTAAAATGACTGTTTGAAAAAATCATCTAAATTTTTTCGTTGTGTAGTCTTATCTGAGACAAAAATATAACTTGAAAATTTGTTGAGTAGTGTAATCATGAAACCTATTTCGAACCGATGATTTCGTAAACATTTATTGTAAAAGACACTCAAATAGACAGACGACCGCGTTAATCTGGATGAATGTCGCAAGTGATCTGAGTGAGTTCAAATCCCACTGCCGGTAGTTTTTTTTTGTTTTTGTAATTTTATTTTAGTTATTTTTTTATATAAATAAAAATATCAATAACAAAATCGATAAATAATCGATAACAAAATCGATCAAAAAACCGATTACGAAATCGATAGCAAAATCGATGACAATTTCGATAAAAATTACGATAGCAAAATTCGTAATATTGGTAGCAAAATCGATTAGAAAATCGATAACAAAACCGACAAACAATCTATAAAAAACCTATAACAAAAATCAATTAGAAAATCGATAACAAAATCTATAAATAATCAATAACAATATCGATAACAACAGCGACAAAAATATCGATAAGTCCCGAGAATCCCGAAAATCTCTAAAGTCCCAAAATAGTTCCCAGATTGTGTCTCTGTGTCTCTATCTACATATGTACTTCTTTCTATTAATTACCTTCTTTATTTTAATCTTACTTCCTCTATCGTCATCTTCACTTTTACGGTATCCTCATCCTCATCTATTTCTTTATATTTATCTTTGTTTTTACTTTTATACTTTCCATTTTCTTCATCTACATATTCCCCTTCACAGGGAAATAAAGCCCGCGGCCATTATTGCTCTTTCGCAAAGGAAATAAAGCCCGCGGGTTCTATTGCCTTTTATTGGTGGGCGATATTCCCCTTCGAAATGGAAATAACACCAATGGGCTTTATTTCTCTTTTTTAGGAATCGAATCAAGCAAACATTTTTTTTTGCCCTGTTATTTATTACTTTTACTTTTTTTGATTGTAATGTATAGTTGTGGCCTTTTTAATTAAAATTATAGTCTTAGAATTTTTACTAACTTGAAATAATTATGTGAAATGCCATAAAACAAAAAATATATTAATGTTTATAATTAAACCAAAAAAATAAGAAACACTACAGAGATTACTACTTTAACCGCAAAACAAAACTTAGCAAAACTTAGACCCTTGTTTTAACATTTTAAAATCATCTCCTAATGAGGAGTTAAAATTTGACTATGACAGAATAAATATAGTGATTATTCTGTTGATTTTTTTTCAATTAACGGCCAAATATAAATAAACAATATAGGGATTATGAAAACACAATTTTAATCGTTAAAAAACCTTTTTTAAACTTTTCTATATCTACGGGCCTTTGAGTATACAGTTTTGTAGCCCATTCCATTATAGTAAAGTGTAAGTTTGAAGTAGTAAGGATCATGATAAAAACATAACGAATTGAATTGTATGGCAGAAAATGTACAAACATTTTCTTTATATATTTTCTTAAATCTAACAATTTCCTACTTATGACATATTTGCGGATAGAATTAACTAAGCATTTGTTTCTCAGCGCCGTGCAACCCTGTTAATGCAATGTAGTGCTGTCACGCTCTTGCACCTGCGCTCTAGCACTCAAAGCCAAAATGGTGCATTTCGAGTTGCCACACTAATTATGCAAACAAAAAACTAAATGAAATCAAGAACTTTCTATACAATTTCTTAACATTTTTTACTGAATAATTTAAGTAGCAGCAGCATGTTAATTATATTTGTACACAACAGCGATAAATACAGAAAAATATTTGAGAAGTTGTAAACAAAACCAGTTCGAAAACCAAGTCAAGCGCCACAAGCATCACCCGAAGAAGTGGCAGCATTGCAGAAGCCCCAATTGTCATTTCTCTCAACAAAAAAGAAAACAAGTGAATTGAAAATGGCAGAAATGCACAAAGTTAATGAAAAAAGTGTAGTTAAATGAAATTTTACTTGGAAAATTTTTGAAAAAAGGAAGAATAGACTGCGCCGTTGTGAATTGATATGCCAGAAAGACATTTGTTGGTGCTTAAACGGTTCTAATAAATATTTGCGAAACTTTTTCCAACTTTTTGTGTATACTTTTGTCGCCCATCTATAATATTCAAACCCTGAAAAGTCCTTGAGTGCTGCGCTAATTTCAATGGCAAACAACAATAGACTTTCGCTGAAGTCTATTAACAAGCGGAACCAGGAGGCGATGTCGCATTCACAAATGAATGCATGGATAAATGGTAGGTGCTGGTGCATAGCAAGCTGCATGTGTGAAGAAACATTGCCATAAATATGAAACAAGCAAATATTTTTACATACCTATTCATAAAATGCAGCCGAAGTATCTCCAGTGGCATTAGTATTGATTTTTTTGTTTTTGTTATACTTTTAGCGATACGGTAATGTAACATGGCTTTTAAAAACTTTAGCAATAATTTTTACTGTTTTGATTATGTAGATTCAGACGGTCAACTTAATTGTAGCTTGTATGTACGTATGTACACACATATATTTAACTGGGTTCATTTGAGTACTGTGAGACTACGAGAAAATTCAGTAAAACTTTGTTTGCGGGACTCATTTTTAGGTGTAGCATTTTTTCCCAGGAAGTTGAGTGCCCACATTAGGATCTGATCCGAACTATGCCCATACATTAGTACCCATATGTGGTAGTCACCCCTTTCATCATTATTTACTTGCGATGGATTACAGTTTGTCCTTTTTGGTCAGAGTTTCGATTGAATACATTCAGTTTTATATAACATATTTGTCTTACAGGATCTGCATTTATTCGTAATGCAAAAAATATCCCGATTATTTCTGTCTTATCCGAAAGAAAATCACCCGAAAGTTGTCATCCGCTCATAGTAAATGGAAACCAAAGTGAATAGTGAACCGGTTTGGGAAAATGAAATTCATGATAAGGCTCTTTATATTTAATTTAAAAACTACATACAGATAGATCTCTTTTGCATACCTAACTCAAAATTATATTTAATTGGTTCGTTCGCCAATAAGTTTTTTAAAATGCAGCACAAAGTTTACAAGCATCCGTTGCAATGGTTACATTATACTAAAATCAATCTCCCGACTTTAGCTGTTATTCCTTTTTTGTAAGTCATATATGTACTTACCTGATAATAAAGTATTACATGGCAGTACATATTTACATACTTATGTACATATGTATACGTAAATATGTTGCATGTATTTTTAAAACTTTGATATACGTAAATATTGCTAGTCAGAAATGAAACGAAAAACCACAAATTTTCCGCAGCTACTGATAAGCGGCTGCTAAATTTTCACCACACATGTGTATAAAATTGAAATCAGTTGAGACAAAATCATCAAACACTAATAGTAACTCGGATACGTCAGAAAAAGATATAGAACGAATCATTGTTTAAATGAATATACAAAATATATATTTTATATTAGTAGTAGTGCTAGTAAAGTAAGACTTTTCCCTTGATAATGAGCAAAAACACAAACAAAAGAGCTGCGTACAACAAAATGGCTAGAGGGAATTTCGATTTTCGAAGAATATTTCGAACCAACGCCACTAAATTAAAAAGTAAACATGCTCGTGTTTTATCTATATTTCACGTTAGCTTATCTATGCTTAACACATCTTTGTTTGCAAATGTTATCGTTACAGTGGAAACGCTAAACAATGGTAATGGTCTACTCTTATCACCGCCACACAACAATTCGGCAAACAATCACCATCAACAACAACAGCAACAACAACGTAGTGCCATGGTTGGAGTAGGCGCCGGTGCAGCAGCAGGTGGTGGTGGTGGTGTCAGCAGTGCTGGTGGCCCTACAAGCGGTAGCGGCAGTATTGCAACTGGCGGCGGTGAACATAATATACAAATAACACAACCTATCAGCGCACCCTCGTCGCCACTTGCATCGCCGGGTGCTATTAGTAGTTCGGCGCTCTTCTGCTTGCCGTCAAGTTCGTCGGGTGGTACAGCTGGCGGTAGCACCAGTAGCAGCGGCGGTGGTAGTGGCAGTGGTTCGTATGTATGTAATGCTGGAGCAGCTAACCAGTCAAACAATTCAACTGCGAATGCGGTCGATACGGCTGATCCGAACTGGCAGGCCACAAAAGCGACGGTGCTCGAACGGAATGCTGCTATGTTCAACAATGAGCTAATGTCGGATGTAAAATTTGTTGTTGGAGGGGAATTTGGTATGTTGCTATTAATCAAATATATATATTATGCATACATTTGTATGTCTCAGAAGTTTATATGTGCTTTTAAAATTTTTATATTAGCAGATTGCGTACAAACTATACCGGCGCACAAGTATATCCTTGCTACGGGCAGTTCGGTGTTCTACGCTATGTTTTATGGTGGGTTGGCCGAAAACAAACAGGAAATTAAAGTGCCTGATGTGGAGCCATCTGCGTTTTTAACGCTGTTAAGGTTGGGCATTGTAGAAATATAAGATCGAAAAGTGTTTCGTTACTAAAAAAAATATTCGTTGTTGTTTTTAACTAGATACCTATATTGTGATGAGATTCAATTGGAACCTGATAACATTTTGGCTACGTTATATGCGGCCAAAAAATATATTGTGCCACATTTAGCACGCGCATGCGTCAATTATTTAGAAGTCAAATTGACGGCAAAAAACGCCTGTCTACTTCTCAGTCAATCGCGTCTATTCGAAGAGCCCGAGTTGATGCAGCGATGCTGGGAAGTAATCGATGCACAAGTGAGTTAACACATTAAATATGCTGATTTTGTTTTATCTATGTGAATAAGTTAGTTTTTTGAGCCGTGTTTAACATACATTTTATTTTTATACAGGCCGAAATGGCAATTAAATCGGAAGACTTTGTCGACATCGACCTAAAAACGTTCGAATCGATATTGTCGCGTGAGACGCTAAACTGCAAGGAGATCCATCTCTTTGAGGCAGCGCTCAATTGGGCTCTGAATGCTTGTCAGAAAATGGGCATTGATGTCACACCACAGAATAAACGAAACATGTTGGGACAAGCATTGCATTTAATACGCATACCAACCATGACTTTGGAGGAGTTTGCAAATGGCGTCGCCCAAACGGGTATACTCACATCACAAGAGACTATTGATATATTTTTGCATTTTACCGCACAATCTAAACCGCATTTAAGTTTCCCTACACGTGCACGTGCCGGTCTGAAAACACAAGTTTGTCACCGTTTTCAGTCATGCGCTTATCGCTCGAACCAATGGCGTTATCGCGGGCGTTGTGATTCAATACAGTTTTCAGTGGATCGCAGGTATGTACATATTGCTATCGGAGTTAAATCACAGCTTATTTATGCACATTTTTATTTAGAATTTTTATTGTTGGTTTCGGTCTGTATGGTTCCTCAACCGGTGCTGCTAATTATAATGTAAAAATCGAATTAAAACGCCTCGGCCGCACCCTCGCCGAAAATGACACGAAATTCTTCTCTGATGGCTCAAGCAACACATTCCATGTGTTCTTTGAGAATCCCATTNATATTTTTGCATTTTACCGCACAATCTAAACCGCATTTAAGTTTCCCTACACGTGCACGTGCCGGTCTGAAAACACAAGTTTGTCACCGTTTTCAGTCATGCGCTTATCGCTCGAACCAATGGCGTTATCGCGGGCGTTGTGATTCAATACAGTTTTCAGTGGATCGCAGGTATGTATATATTGCTATCGGAGTTAAATCACAGCTTATTTATGCACATTTTTATTTAGAATTTTTATTGTTGGTTTCGGTTTGTATGGTTCCTCAACCGGTGCTGCTAATTATAATGTAAAAATCGAATTAAAACGCCTTGGACGCACCCTCGCCGAAAATGACACGAAATTCTTCTCTGATGGCTCAAGCAACACATTCCATGTGTTCTTTGAGAATCCCATACAGATTGAACCAGAGTGCTACTACACCGCCTCCGTGATACTTGATGGCAATGAGTTGAGCTTTTTCGGTCAGGAGGGCATGTCCGAAGTGTGCATGGGCAATGTAACATTCCAGTTCCAATGCTCATCGGAGAGCACAAACGGCACTGGAGTGCAGGGTGGTCAAATACCTGAACTGATATTCTATGGGCCGACAATTGTTACTGGTTTAAATTCACCTACTAATTCGCTGTGTGCTACACCAATTGGTGCTGGCAGTAGCGGCAGTGGTGGCGTATCGAATGGCGGCGGTTTACACGTAAATTGTGATGACTTATTGGGTAGTGGCAGCAGCGAAGTTGGTGGCAGCGGCAGTGGTGCACTGAGCGCATGAGAAATAGTGGAGTATTGCAAGGACGATGAATTGGAACTCTTATGAGAAGCTTGAGGAGAACAAATAATTGCAACCTATGGTTTTTCAATGTGAAATTTAGTGTTAAAACTGAAATGGATTAATATGTAGTTCTTAGAAAGAAGTCAGCGAATGGACAACCAAATAAATAAATACAGGCAATATTTACAAATATGTACATTAAACAAATCAAAGCATGTATAAACACTTACTTTACGTTTAAGTTAAAATCAAATGAATGACGTAAGCTGATTAACATTCAGACAACATAATTGAATGAAATTCGGAATGAGGAGTAAAAACACAAAAAGGCAATCAAATTTGGTAAAACAGATTCTAAAGGCATATTAAAAAACACTAAAACACACTTACAAAGACTTGTAGAATGTAGTATTTTGGATTGAAATTAATACAATAACCTGCGGAACATAGTAAACGAACAAGCAATTGCAAATTACATACCTACTTACATATGTACATTCATACATTTGACATGATCGAGAAAAGAAAGAAATTTACTGCAAAGTTACGTATTTATCTAGTATTTATTAAATCCTGAACAACATTCAGGCCAAATAAGAAATTACTAGGGTGAGAAATATTAAAAGGTTTGAATGCATATTGACACATATACAACTATATAACTAAACACATTACAAAGCATGTTAGTACTTTTTTCAGTAGTTTTTTCATATACTCGAAAGGAAGAGAAGTATTCATATGCATACTTCGTATTTGAAAACATTAAAAAATATTTGAACATTTTGCGAAAAGACATTAATATAGTATGAGTTTAGTTTGCAAGCAATTAAGCGTTTCATTATTAATGCAAATACAAATGCCACACATAGTCGAATCAACAATTAGCAATCTCGTAGCATTTTAGCGTTTGTCTTACGTCTATTT